AGTATTCATCATCAATTATTATCATTTAACATCATCAAAATATAAAAAAAATTCATTATATAACAACTTAGGACATCATCATATATTACCATATGCTACAAGAAAATTTACACATATCATTTTTAACATGTAATCATCAATTAGCATACAACGACAACTTTCACATAACGCAACGCAATTGGAGTTCCACTAATCCAATCACACTCATCTTTATCTCATATGAAAGTTAAAAAGGTTATTTACAATTCTTATTAAGACTTTAAGTTCTAATTCCATCATATACTATACTAAAAATCACAACAACAAAAAACTATAATAGTTTGCCTAAATGTTGACAGCTTGACTTTTACTTACTAAAAAGGACATAATTAGAGTTATAGACCTTCTTTTTAAGTGATTTCAAAACACTTGGAAAGTTAACATCTAAGGCTACAACTTTTATGAAGACAACAAAGTCTAATTCAGAAAGGACTAAACCGCTCAACTGTTTCAAAATCGCTCAGCGAATTCCTTCAAAAAATAAACCTGATTCTGATCTACAATTTTACTCAACCGTTTCATGATAAAGACCATATCTATTTTTCATGATTTTGGGATTTACAAACCTCTCCATTCCTTCCCAAGCTTCCTACAAGTTCCAATCTCAAATCTAAACCATAAAAACTCATCTAAACAACCAGAATACATCAATTTCCAACAACAAAACCACTCATAACAAGAATTTGGATACAAAATCAAGGTTTTCCCCCAAAACCCTCAAACACCACAAAATCTCCAAGAAACTAAGAACACCAAGTCTTCTTACTATTTAGTTTAACATTCAAACAATTATGCATCAATGAACATTCATACCACGCATGCAATATGATAATCCACACAATCATCCACCAAGATCAAGTCATAGCTTCCATTACCTCTTAGGAGAAGCAAAATCAATCAAGAAGGAAAGAGGGAAGAAGAAGCTCCACACGAATCCGAGCTCGACTACGTAACCCAGTTTGAGGAAGAACTCTCATAACTACTCACCAACTACACAAAGAAAGGGAAGAAAAATAAGATCTTAGGAATAAGGAGTAAAGAGTTAGTTTCTCTCACTCTAACTTCACCATTTCAAGAACAAGCTCATGAAATCCCCTCCCAAGCTTGAGTGTTACAATAATAAGTCTTTTTAAGCTTATCAATCAAGTATTATTTTACAGACAAGACTTTCCAAACTCAATCTTACAACAATGCTTATGAAGGTTACAAAGATATTGTTTCGTCTCACTTAGACATTATACAACCAATGCAATGTAATAAGCCTTGTACAAGAAAAAATGAAGTTTATACATACGTATAATTTACATAATGTGCCTTTTATTCTTTCTGAACTTCAAATCTTCTTATATATTAACTTTGGAGAAGATAATCGTCGCAACACTTTGAGTCTAACTCACAAGTTTGTTTCGTCTGTCTTAACATCTTTCCTTGTAATGAGAGATAATCGTTGACTTATTTAATGCAAAAAATTAAATGCATTTCACTAAATGTGACCTCTTATTTGATCAAGAAGGTTACTTATCATTTTTCATACCACACGGAGTTTGTAGAAATAATGTTAGTATAGAGCAGCAACAACAATACCTTTATGTATTTTTTCCCATGATTTTAGGGATCTTCATCCTTGGTTTTGAAGGAAAGTATGAATTTGTTCTCTTTAACAGATTTATGATTTCCAATATATCTTTCTAGTTCGATGTGTTAAGGAATAAAATATTTAAATAAAAAATTTTGTTAGTCTTAATAAATAATGAATATTTAATGTATATAAGACAAATTGTATGCTTCGTCTAATTTATATCATCTTATGGATAATTTGCATCTTACACTTCATCTGATAATTATTTTTGAAGATATTTTCTCTTGTAAAAATGTTGTTAGTTAACATTAAAATTTTAAATCTTAAGAGATTCAAGATCGTCTTTTGACTTAACACACACACACACACATATATATATATATATATTATATATATAATTACCTCATTTCACAAAAAAAAATGTTTTTATAGACTATAATACAACATTATCGATTAGAACATTTTTATTATTCTAATAATACTTGTGTGTTTTATTCCTTTAGTATTATAATTGTATAATTTTGGTCTCTACAGTTTCATCAAATAATTTTAGTTTATCAAATATTGCAAATTTTCCAATTTTGGCTCCCTAAATTTTAATTAAGTAATTTTAATTATAAATCTTATTACCTCCATTCTGTCCCTTGTTTTGAGATCCCCAAATGGCATTGCAGTTTCTGCCCACCATATTCATCTACAATAATATTATTCCTTTGATTTTGATAGGGTGTAATCCTCATCTTCTATATCTCTTCCTCTTTGTCTCTCTTTCTCTCACATTACAAATGCATAATAAAATAGTAATCATCTAAGAAAGATTGATAAGCTAGATAGTAGCTACCTTTATGTTTCAGTGGTTTATGTATGCCTCCTTCTTTGTACCTTTATTGCATTAGAATATACACTTGTTGGAATATTTATAGGCAACTTGTTCACAAATCTGCAGAAAGAAGCTAAAAGGCAAGATACTTTTGTATATAGGTGGTGATTGCTGCTTCTTGAGACCGAGGACAATAATATGTGGCATATATCAGGATCATCAATTGACTAGTGACCAAGATGTCTTGTGGGGTGCTACAATCATAGTTAGGTTCATATTTTGTCACGATCAAAATGTTGAATCAGTGACTCGTATTAATTGTGTTCTGTATCATAGCTATCATTGATATGTAAAATCCTTCTAATGCAATGTTCCAAAGAGGTCAACTCAACTCCTATACATAATAGAGTCAAGCCAAGTGGACAATAATACTTTGAGACTTTTTGATTTTTTGGCTAACTTGTGTTTAGTTAATTTTGGTTCTCATAAGAATTGATTTCAACTGTCGTATAGCAGAAGCAACTTTCGCCGTGAAGACTTATGATTAAATGATGTTTTATTTTATAAACGGCTATATATATCCAATTTTTGCATTATGGAAGAGGGGTTAACTATTTTTGTGCACCTATGTATCTTCAAGTGATAAATGTAAATTGTAACAAAAAAGAAGTTATAAATGTAAATATCTCCTTAACAATTGAAATGTAAACCTTCATCCTTTTTTTGTATCAACACCAGAAATTGGCTAATCTAGTTAAAGTTATTTTCTGCTACGATACATGTAATGGCAACAGTATAAATAGCCTTACACTCAACACATTTTTTTTATCAATAATATTCATTTTCCCTCTCAACTCATACTAGAAATTAGTTAATCTAGTTATGGTTATTCTCTCAACTCGTACTAGAAATTAGTTAATCTAGTTATGGTTATTTTCTATTTAGATACATGTAAATGTAATGATAGTGGCATACATAGCCTTGTACTCAATACATTTGATCAACAATATTCATTTTTCCTCTCGACTCATTATGGTTTTTCTCTTGCCTTTCACTTTCTCTTATCCATCATTGAAGCTTTTTCTTTTGCTCCAATGGCAGAGACTGGAATCATACTTCAGGATGAATCTCAAAATCCTTTTTATCTCAGTGAAAAATTCCAATTATTACTCACGGAGTCCTTTGATGAAACGTGCTCTTTTATCTAAAGAACAGACTCAAGTTCATTGATGGTTCTCTTGATCCAATCCAAATTTTAGTGCTTAGGAAAATTGTAATGTCATTAATTATTTCATGGATCACACGAACCCTGATTCCTCAAATTTATTGTCAATTTCTTGAACTTAAATTGGCTCAAAAAAGAGCAAAGATTTCTTAAGAAAAAATGAAAACTTTGATTTTCTTTAAGCCAATTTAAGTTCAATCGGTAAACCTAAAAAGTGAAAGCTCTTTTTTCCTATTTATAATAAGAGTTAATCACTTATACACTGTCATGTCACTGTTAAAAGTAAATGTTATAGTGACATGACACAATTAAAAAATATAATTAGTTATCAATGTAAAAAAATTTTACACTAACAGTGTATAAGTGATTAATTCTTATAATAATACTCGGATACTTAAACATGCTTAAACCCTTAAATTTAAAGAAGAATACATTTTTCTTTTCTCTCTTTTCCCATATGCAATCTCGATCATGTAATTAAATCATGAATTTTTTTAATGGAATGTCAATTGTCAGGGGAGCAATAAAAATGCCAATTTTCTTAAAGCGCGAATCTTGGTTATAAGAATATCACCAGGTTGCTTGAATTCTCACTGGACTAACTCCCTCATATTATATCTTCCATGAATAGTGGGACGGTTTTCCAATGGAGACAAATCTACATGGAAGCTAATCAATTTGCAGATATGTTATGACAAAGTTTGGCCTTTTTCGGATATTCCTCTTAGAATTTTTTTTATGTTCCTTCATTTTTTCTTTCTTTATACTTTTTAGCTGAAGCTATAGCTTTCCTTGCGGTTTTCAGTTGGGCTTAGGCCCCTTGTATCCAAGAAAAAAATCTTGAACCCGAGAATGACTTGCATGGCATTATGCTCTTTTAACTTACAGTTTATACTTCATTCCATATTGGTGGTGGCCCATGATTTTAATAAAAAAGAATGTTACACTTCATCATTTTAAAAAGAAAAACTATTGAATCTCAGTTTTGCTTATCCAAACCATTCACCACTTTGTGAAGAGTAATCTCTACCAAATAAATAAATAAAATTAGTTGATTATTCAATTATATATAT